CTCCCAGTGAGGGGGGGGGGCACATTTCATCTTCTGGAAAATGGTGGAGGAGGAGGCAAGAGGTCCTCTGCTCCCCAGCCCCCAGTTCCAAGGCAAAAAGCCCCCCAAAACTTCTATTTTGGCCCTGGGACTAGTGTTCCCTCTAAGTTGAGTTAGTGTGAGCTAGCTCACAGGTTTTTTAGCCTCCAGCTCACAGATTTTTGTCGGGGCTCAGGAAGGAGGGCTCCAGGGCAAACCAATTTATGCAGTAGCCAAATCACTCGCTCACAACTTTAATGTCATAGCTCACAAAGCAGAATTTTTGCTCACAGGACTCCGCAGCTTAGAGGGAGCATTGCCTGTGACGGGGTGAGCATTGGGGCCTTGGAACCTTCTTCAAGTGTCGAGAACACAAGTGTGAAGCAACAGGTCCTGTGATTGGCAGAGAGTGTGAAGCCTCTGGATTGGCCCAGTCTGGTATACTAGGCTGCTAGCAAGTCTGCCTGTGTTGAACTCATTTTTACCACTGTTCTACAGCGAGGGAAGAAATGCAAGATGAAAACAGAGACACTGTAGTGGGACTGGCTTCACTTTCAACTCCAGGAATTCCACATTTCGGAGGGAGGACGCTTTAAATTAAGACCAGAGGCCAGATAATGACAAAGCAGGCGAGAGAGCAGAATTATGTCAGGGTGTTAACATGACACGAGGGTGTCAGCCATGTTTTTTAAACCACACGTGGGCCATTCACATTATCACGTGTTGTGTGTGGGGTCTGTTTTGCCACCACCAAAAGAGTATCTAGGTGAAGGGAAATGGCTCTGCCGTCTCCTACCCCTCTCCTCGTCCTCTGCAACCACTTCACTTCCCGGATTGGAGCCAGGTTGGGAGAAAAAGAGGTGGGTGATAGAGGAAGTTCGGTGCTGGAGAGTTGAGCTCCCCTCGTCCACACACCTTTTGAAGTTTAAATGAGAACACACAGCCCTTTCTGTTTCATACATGGACAAGACACAAAAGAACAAACAAGGACCTGGCATGGTGAAACAAAATGGCTGACGTCGTCACATCTAGTTTGGCACTTAGGTCACACCTGGACGGTTTGTGCTGTGATAACAATGGAAGCCCCACACATTGCTGCAAATCAGCCAGTCCTTTGGCAGTGTTTGGAAGGAACTAGCAGGCGGTCAATCTTCTTTGAATGGGTCTGATTCAGCTGCAGTGTGTGTGCGTGCCACATAGCAGAAAATGGGGAGGGGCTGTGGCTCAGTGGAAGAGCCTCTGCTTTGCATGCAGACGGGTCCCAGGTTCAATTCTGAGCATCTCCAGTTAAAAGGAACAGGTGGGAAGGTGACGTGAAAGACCTTTCTCTGCCTGAGACCCTGGAGAGCCGCTGTCGGTCTGAGTAGACGGTACTGACTGACGGTCTGATTCGGTATGAGGCAGCTTCATGTCTGTGAAGACTTGAGTTCAGTGGTTTGAAAAATACAACGGACTGGATTCTTAAGAACAAATGAGCATATAAATGGAGTCGATTCAGGAGGGGAGAAAAGGCTGCTGTGGAAATGCTCAAGATAATCTATTACAGAGAAGGAACTTCTGTCATTTTCTTGGTTTCTTGTCACCTCACCCATGCGAAGAAAGAGTCTTCACTTTTAAAAGGAAACGTCTGCATTTCCCTTCTCTTCCTCAATTGAAGCAATTTTTAAAAAGAAGGAACCTTTCTGTATCTCATTGTTCACTCTTCCCCCATGCATTGTTCACTCTTCCCCCATGTCCGCAAAAAGAACACTTGATGAATCAATTGTTGATGGTGTAGTGATGATACAACTGTTGATTCCTCTCCTCTATTCATCAGTAGCTAGTAGCCCCGATGGCTGAATGGAACCTCAATGTTCAGAGGCAGCAGATCTCTGAACACCAGTTGCTGGGGGGGCAGCAAGAGGGAGAGGCTTTGTGGCCTGCTGATAGGTCCTTCCTCAGGCATCTAGTGAGTAAATGTGGGAAATACAGTGCAGGACTACATGGACCATTGGTCTGATCAGTCAAAGCACTTCCCATGTTCTTAACCACACAATGGAGCAAATAGGGCCATGAGAGGGAGGGCAGGAAGGGTTGCATCAGTGCTTGGTTCTTGTGGCCCTTTCTTACATTCCCAGGGAAATGCTGATCAGCACGTTGAATCATAGACTCATAGAGTTGGAAGGGACCTCCAGGGTCATCTAGTCCAACCCCCTGCACAATGCAAGAAATTCACAAATACCTCCCCCTCCACACCCCCAGTTGACTGGTATTCCACACCCAGAAGATGACAAAAAAGCCTCCAGGATCCCCAGCCAAACTAGCCTGGAGAACAATTGCTTCCTGACCCCAAAGTGGCGATCATCAGCATTTCCCTGGGCGTGTAAGAAAGGGCCACAAGAACTAAGCACTAAGGCAACCCTTCCTGCCCTCCCTCTCATGAGCTGCCTAAGTTCACAGAATCCGCATTGCTGTCAGATGGCCATCTAGCCTCTGTTTGAAAACCTCCAAAGGAGAGCCCACCACCTCCTGAGGAAGCGTGTTCTACTGAGGAACTGCTCTGTCAGGAAGTTCTTCCTAACGTTTAGCCGAAAACTCTTCTGATTTAATTTCAACCCGTTGGTTCTGGTCTGACCTTCCGGGGCAACAGAAAACAACTCCGCACCATCCTCTGTATGATAGCCCTTCAAGTACTTGAAGATGGTTATTGTATCATCTCTCAGTAGTCTCCTCTCCAGGCTAAACATACCCAGCTCCTTCAATCTTTCCTCATAGGACTTGGTCTCCAGACCCCTCACCATCTTCGGTGCCCTCCTCTGGATGAGTTCCAGCTTGTCTACCGTGTTTCCCCGAAAATAAGACACTGTCTTATATTTATTTTTTCTCAAGAAGACACATTAGGGCTTATACCACAAATGCATAGAAATCCTGCTAGGGCTTATTTTTGGGGTAGGTCTTATTTTCGGGGAAACAGGGTATATCCTTCTTAAATTGTGGTGCCCAAAACTGAACACAATACACTAGGTGAGGTCTAACCAGAGCAGAGTAAAGCGATACCATCACTTCACGTGATCTGGACACTATACTTCTTCTGATACAGCCCAAAATCGCATTTGCCTTTTTAGCTACCACATCAAACTGCTGACTCATGTTCAGTATATGGTCTACTAAGACCCCGAGATCCTTTTCACACATACTACTGTCAAGACAAGTCTCCCCCATCCTATAATGATGCATTTGATTTCTCCTACCTAAATGCAGAACTTTACATTTATCTTCATTGAAATTCATTTTGTTTTAACCCAATTTTCCAGCCTGTCAAGATCATCCTGTATCCTGACTCTGTCTTCTACCGTATTTGCTACCCCTCCTAATTTAGTATCATCTGCAAATTTAATAAACATTCCCTTAATTCCTTCATCCAAATCATTTATAAAGATGTTGAACAAAACAGGTCCCAGGACAGCTCCGTGAGGCACCCCACTTGTCACTCCTCTTCAAGAGGATGAGGAACCATTCACAAACACTCTTTGGGGTCAGGAAGCAATTTTTCTTCAGGCCAGTTTGGCTGGAGATTCTGGAGGGTTTTTTTTGCCATCTTCTGGGCGTGTGTAGGGGGAAGTATTTGTGAATTTCCTGTATTGTGCAGGAGGTTGGACTAGATGACCCTGGAGGTCCCTTCCAACTCTATGAGTCTATGATTCTAGGGTGGTGCCAACCTCAATCCCACCCCAAGGAATCTCGTGGTTACCAAAATCTCTGAGTTTTCTTGAAATCCCCTTGAATCATCATCACCCTCCAAGTTTCCCTGCCCTGCTTTGTGGGGAGGCACAGAATGCAAAGATACATCATGGGTTATGTTTCTCCTCACGCAACTGGGAAGAGAGGAGCAGAAGAAGACATGGTCTGTCTGTTTTCAATACCGGCCCATTGTCAGTTGTCTTAAACTAGCAGATTCCATGTCAAGCAATCAACTGCTGGATTCTTTTATTCCCAGTTGGAGGAGGAAGAGGAGACAATGGCAACAAGGGAGCAGATGAGTGAGTGGGAAAAAACACCCATCTTGAGCAACTCGCTGGGCACATCTTTTTCTTAACAGAAGTGGGAAGTAACAGTGGCTGTTGCACATACCAGCATTCATTCTCCTGATACACTGTAATGTACTTTAAAAAGAGAAGTTAAAGCACAGCTGCAGTTCTGTGAGTGTCCTTGCAATGTGACTTAGTGGCAACCGCCAACGGTGGTGACCCACCGACTGTTCACAATTTCTTGTTTCGCAGCAGACTTACACCTTGGGTGGCAGGTGATATGCCAGGAAGACTCTTAAGCCTCACTAATGTACATGGTTTTAACCCTTGAGACTGTAGCCAAAAATGAAATACAAGATAGCCTTCAAGGACCACTGCAGGATTTAATGAACTCTAGGTAGCCAATGCTGGAGTAATGTCTGTATGGCCCGGTTGCTGTCCTTGGTCCTGAAGAACCTGCAGTTGTTGTCTCTTTGCTCTAGTACCAAGATGCCTTGGAATTACCGTGCAGCAATATCAGGGTTAATTCCTTTTCACTCAAACGAAGAAACTCTGCAGGCCTAACCTCTGAGCAAGATGTTGGGAGTTTTGACAACTTATGCAAATGTGGTAAAGCTAGGTTTAGCGTTTTTAAATTTAATTGGGGTATTTTTAAGGGTTCTGACACTACTGAACATTTAAGAAACACTGACATGTATGGGCACAGATTTCAGAATGACTAGGTTTGAGCAGAAAATCCTGGTGCTGTCCCTTATCCACAACCAGAGAGGGGTATTTCCCAAGCTACAGCAAAACAGAAGCAGCATTAACATTTTCTGGAATTTTTCAAGGGGAGTGCCTCTGAACATGTTCAGAGTGCATCTCCCTTCTCAATTCAGACAAAATTGAGGGACAATAATACAGGTAGCCATGGAGGGAGGAGGCAGCCTGTTCTGGATGGGGGCCCAACGGCAGCCTGAGAAAGGATGAGCTTATAGATCTCTGTCTGCAGGCGGCTGCTCAAGCACGAAGCACCTTTAACCAACTGCAGTGGGTTTGAAAAACTATGATCTGTTCACTAATAATTATCCATGCTGTGATCACATGCAGATTAGATTACTACAATGTACTCTTTGTGGGGCTGCCTTTGAAGACTGTTCGGCAGCTTCAGTGGGTTCGAAATTCAAAACCAAGGTCCAGATTATAGGGAACATATCTTATCAGCGATGCAAGGATGACACTGGCTGCTAATTCATTCCCAGGCACAATTCCAAGTGTTGGTTCGTACCTTTAAAGCAGTCTGGGAACTGGGAACCTTGAGCACAGCCTGCTCCCTTAGGAATAACTGCCATACAGATTCTACTCCATGAGCCTCCACTTTGAGAGGAAGGCATGTGTGCATGTATGTGGGTTTACCAGAGACAGAGCCTTTTTAGTGGTGGCCCTTTGGCTCTGGAACTCCCTTCCTGCAGCAGTTTGCTTGGTGCCATACTGAAGTGCCAGGTCAAAGCATCTTTCCTTTTGCCAATCTTTTAGGTTGCCTGCCCTGGCTGTTTTTATGCTTGCTCTGCTTTGATATTGATTTCAAATGATCCACCCTGGATTGCTTTCCAAGTACAAGGTTATGGTTTTGATTCCTTCTGTTTTTGCTACAGTATTTTTAGTGTCGCTCTTGATTTTGTGACCCTGCCTTCCATTGCTCTTATTGTTTGCACCATCCTTCATTCTTTTGAAATGACGTAAGCAGCTCTCCAAGGTTTACAGGGTACAGATGTTCCAAATTAATAAATAAACACATGAGCAATTAAGGGATTCTTTGTATACACATGAATGTCATCCACAGGAAACATCAGTACATGCTCCAGTGCCCATGCAGAATTCATGTTTGCTGTGCACCTTGTGTAGTTGTCCACAGAGATAGACAAGGAGAGACAGACAGCAAGAGAGAGATAGACCTCTTGGTGACTGCTATTGCTTTCAAAGCCCAGGATGAGCTTAAGCAGTAGGCACACAGCGCCTCCTGGTGGCTTACTGAATAATGTTTCCAAACTAGCACATGCTATAAACATTTCCGGAGAGGGAAGATCACCAGGGGAGATTATTCTATGAGCTACTACATTTTGCAAAAATAATCCCTAGCAGAATTTAATCATTAGCCGGGTTCATCTTAGGGCAAAGCTGAATCTTTGGGTAGCTATGCCCAAACGTAAAGCTGTTGTGGGTGCATTTGTCCAGTTCAGGGCGAGTTGCTGCAACCTGGAGGGCTTGGAGCCCGACGTGCAGCAAGCTGAAGGCATTGCTTTGTTGACCAGAAGAAGGCAGAAGACCCGGCTCCTGGCATTCACACCAGGCCCGGTCAATCCAGAACCTTCATGCTGCCTGCCAATCGGGAGGTCTGATGTTACAGGTGCCCTTTCACCCCTCAAGAGGGTGCCACGGCCTGAGCACAAACACTCCCAGGTGGTTCCTTAAGGTGAGTTCCACGCCATTTACGGTTCCAGCTGCACAGTCCCCGATACTGCAGTGCCAAGGGCTCAGGGAGGACGAGGGGCTGAGCTCCTTCCCTGTTGGGAGACTCGACAAGATTTCACTTCTTTTCTTCTGCAGCGCCTTTCTTCTCTCAGCAGGGAAGCATCCCGGAATGCTAAACTATGTGCATGACACTGTATTCCATGTTTGTAATGTGTGATCACGGATGCCCCAAATGTCCACTGCACTCTCTGTGATTCTATCATTCTGGTTTTTTAACATCAATGCACAAGACTTGTCTGCCCCCTCCAAACTTTCCTCATGCGACATTCACTTTTGAGATATTTCGGTCGCTCATCGGCCCAGTGTTGGGCATGAGCCTCAGAGAACCGGGTCACAGTCTGTCTCTCTTGCACATAATCCAAAGGGCCCAACGGCAGCCTGAGAAAGGGACCCTTCGCAGCTGTCTTCTTTCCAAGGCTGGTGGGGTTTTTACATGGCTCCGTTTGGCTGAACTAGCGCTTGATAAAGTGGGGAACGGAGGAATCTGGGGTACGAGTCCTTCTCCATCAGGCCAAAGATACGCCTCTGCGCCTGTTCAAAGCAACTGCGGGTGGGGAGCAAAATGTTCCGGTTGGTGACATCTCTGGTCTGGGAATCCAGGTTGATCTGCAAGAAGGAAGGTAGGGGATCAGATCCACAGGCAGGAGATTGGTCACTGCAGGGAATTTCGGTACTGCACCTAGCGTGGGGGCCAGCGACCTTGTCTAATGAAAGAGCCAAACTACATCAGAAGTCAGAACAGGAAATCAACAAAGAGCTGGCCTAAGTCAGGTCATTTGCACAACTGAAAATACACGGCATAACATTACGTATAATGTTTCTGTAACCCAAACACTGGTTTTTGCAAGTCCCTTATTAGGAAATGGTATGCATCAGGTCCCATAGCTAGTCATAGGGTTTTTCCACATTCCCATTTTCTTTGCTTTTGTGTTCCTGTTGCTTCGGGTGTGTGTGTGTGTGTTCCTGTTCCACATGTGTTTTGCTCCCTCTAGTAGTCAATTCAATATTACATCGCTTTATGCCTGGCATAAAATGCTGGACATAACATGGTGTAATATTGAATTGACCACTAGAGGGAGCAAACAAAATGTGGAACGGGGGGGGGAACTCTGAAACAACAGGAACACACAAGTGAGGAAAATGAAAATGTGGAATATCCCATCATTACACACAGGACTACCTGGCACAATTGTTTTCGTCCACTGGCATAAATCCGGTCATGGTTCAAACCTGGAGTCTGATTATTCCCCCCCCCAAAAAACCCCCCCCAAAAAACTGGAAGTAAGAGCCAGTTCTGTGTAGCAGACAGAGCACTGCAAAAGGACCCGCCTGGGTTCAAACCCCTGCCCATTTATAAAGCTTGCTTGGGCCAGTTGGCATCGCTCAGCCTACCTCACCAGATTGCTGGGAGGGTAAAACAGAGTTCCCAGGAGGGAGAGCGGGATAAAAAACATGATGGAATGAAACAGATGTTGTGTGCGGTTGTATATGCTCCGTGTTCTAATCTCTCCACTTAAACAGGTTAAGCAAGTTTTCTAGTACTTCAGAAACTTCCAATGCCTGCTTGACTACAGACATCAGTGGGATCAAAAGAGTGGACACATAGAATGCAAGAAACAACACTTCTGTCCTGCTGCCTTCAACTCTCTCAAAGTGACTTTCTCTTTCCAGCCACAGCTGCTTCAAGAAGGGAAGGGAACCCACGAGTTTCCTGCAATCCCTTCCCCAAGAGAGACAGCAACCTGGTCCGGGGCCTCCGTTCTCAAGTCAGGCAGAGAGCAAGAGAAGCCCTGTGCCTCTTCACTCTTTTTCTGCGTATTGTGGATGGCCCCTCCGTAAGTCCAGCACGCGGCTGAGGCCAAAAGGTTTCCCTACCTCTTTGGGGGCCTGGATGGTGACGTATTGGTCGTAGATTTTCCTGGCGTTGTCCTGAAGCTTGTCGCAGCTTCGGAGCTTCCGGTAGTCTTCGCACGCCATCCAGAAGTCCAGGTTCTCTTCACTGAATTCTGATTCCAGGAAAGCACGAAAAGCACGCTGACCATCTGAAGATGAGGTGGGTTATGCAAAAAAATTAAATCAGACCGATGACAAATGCTTGCGGCATCACAGATCGGGGTGTGTGTGTGTGTGTGATGCATATATGTGTGTGGCACTTCCGGGCTCCTTTCCTTTGCCCATATACAAATCCAAATTATTTTTATGGAATAAATTATATACAGTAACACACACAGGGCTGCACCTTTCCCCTTACAGCTTTGCAACAAAAAGGGCCAGTAACAGACTTTTAAAAAATGAAAGCTAAGAATTAGTACATTGTTGCAATAGATCCTGATAATGCTGCACTACAGCAATATCAATTACTGTGTTTTTTTTAAAAAAGCCCCCCAAATAAGCCCTCTAGTGGTAGGGGAGTGGCAGCCGTGGAGGGCAGAGGCAATGGAAGCGCTGGGTAAACTGCTGTGCAGGATCTGCTGTTGCCACTGCATTTGCAACAGCAAGAAGAAGAAGGAGGAGGAGGAGGAGATTGGATTTATACGCCACCTTTGCTACCCTTGGGAGTCTCTGAGTGGCTTAAAAACTCCTTTCCCTTCCCCTCCCCACAACAGAGGTAGGTGGGGCTGAGAGAGCTCTGACAAAGACTGCTCTTTTTCAAGAACAGCTGTGCCAGAACTATGGCTTGCCCAAGGTCATCCTGCAGGTGCAAGTGGAGGAGTGGGGAATCAAACCCGGTTCTCCCAGATTAGAGTCTGTGCATTTAACCACTACACCAAACTGGCTCTACAGGGAGAGTCATCTCCACATTTATGCAGCCCATCTAAGGATCCCAACATGATCATCTAATCTGATTGTTATTTTGACTGCAGGTGAAACACAGACAGTGGCTCAGTTCTGGCACAATGTCTCCACACTGCCATGAGGTGTGACCTTAGGCTGCCCCTTCGCTCTCTACCACTCCCTGAAAAATGGCCGTGAAGACTAAACGAAGAAGGGAAGGCAATGCAATCGGAGTGCCTTGGAGAAAGGTAGAAATGAACGAAGGCGGATCACACTGGCTCTCTGTACACAGAAGAGCCCCTTTTGACCACCGACCGGCCGGCACACTTACACGGATGGAGCAACAGTTTTTCCAGAGATTCAGCCCATTCCTGGGCCTCCCCCGGAGTTGGCCTGAAAGAGGAAAAACAGAAATAGCTGAGGGATCTCCACACAGCGGGAGAGCAGGGCCTGACCCTGGGACCGGGGCTCTGTTTCCTTCGAGAGAAGTGCCTGGGAAACATGGGGGCAGTGGCCTTTTCTTTTTTCCTTAAAGGGGGGGGGGTTAGTAAACAGTGCTGATTTGCCATGCCATTAGCAAGGGCGCCTGGCTCTCTTCCAAAGTCACCGCAGCCTCTATGGGTCACGGCCAGGGCTGTGTTTGTAAAAAAAAAGTGTAGGGCTACCCATTCCCGGCTTCTCCCTGAGCAACGACAAGCTCCCGGAGTAGTGCGAATGGGTTCTGTTTCCTTCAGGCGACTCTCGCAGAGCTCTTTTTGTAGCAGGAGCTCCTTTGCATATTAAGCGACACACCCCCTAATGTAGCCAGTCCTCCGAGAGCTTGCAGAGCTCTTCCTTACAGGGGCTACTGTAAGCTCTCGGAGGATTGGCTACATTAGGGGGGGTGTCGCCTAATATGCAAAGGAGCTCCTGCTACAAAAAGAGCCCTGCGGGGTGGCGGGGAGGCGAGAGTGTCGGGAGGGCAGCCGTGTCGGTTTGCAGTAGAAGAGCTACGTTGGAGGCCAGTAGCACGAGACTTCCAGGGTATGTGGCTTTCGAGAGTCAACGCTGACAAAAGGAACCTGGGCTCTTGAAAGCTCATACTCGGGAAATCTTGTTGGTCTCCGAGGTGCTACTGGAGTTGAATGTAGCTCTTCGGATGGGGGAGACGCGCACTGTTCTTTGCGACTCTGGCTTTGTTTAAAAAGATGTAAGTCGGGGTCCCCAGCCTTTTTGAGCCTGTGGGCACCTTTGGAAGTCTGACACAGTGTGGTGGATGCAGCCACAAAATGGCTGCCGTAAAATGGCTGCCACAAGAGGGGGAATTGGCAAAAAAAAAAAAAAAGGCTGCTGTAGGTTACTTTCACGCACGCAGTGAAGGTCCTTGGTCTGCGGTGGCAGCTGCTGCCAAAGCGACATTTTAAAAAATCCGCATCCGATGAAAGTGATGGGCAGTAGGCTCCAGATGGGCAGAAGGATATACTACTTTACATAGGGAGTAATTAAAATGTGGAACTCGCTGCCAAGAAGACGTAGTGATGGCCACAGGAATAAACAGCTTTAAAAGGGGGTTGCAGAGACTCACGGAAGATAAGCCTATCAATGGCTAGGAGCCATGGTGACTGAGGGGAACCTCAACAGTTAAAGGCACTAAGCCTCTGAACCCCAGAGCCAGGAGGCGACATCAGGGGAAGGTCTTGGTCTCCATGCCCTGCTGTTAGACCTCCAGAGGAACTGGTTGGCCACTGCATGAGACAGGAGGCTGGACTAGATGGACCACAGGTCTGATCCAGCAGGGCTCTTCTGATGTTCAATCAGATCTCCAATGGCCAATCAGAAGCCATTGTGGGCAAAAGCCCCACCTGGCCACACCCATTTTCTAAACGCACCTGGCAGGCATCAGGAAAAGGGCTGGTGGGTGCTCAGGTGCCCATGGGCCCCATGTTGGGGACCCCCCTGATTTAAGTGCAGCCCCAGAGGTGCTGCTTCGCCTCCAGCCGGCTTGCAACTGTGCCTTGCTCTCTGCCCATTCCCAGTTGCCAGCGGCCCCACTCTCTGCCAAACACTCAGAACCCAAGCCCCTGCAGGCGGACGACCCATGCCAGAGATCATCCACGGACGATACATTAACATTCTTCTCTCGGCTCTTGGATTCTAACCAGGAGACACTTTCAGGCTCCTCTCCCAGCTCTGCAGTGACCACTCTGCAAAATCGCAACACCTCCGCCCCTCTCCAAGAAGGTCTGGCCCCAGACCAGCTCTAAATGGCCTGCGTCTCTTCCAGGAAAAAAGAAACTCTACGGACAGCTTAATGAGAACGATGAAAGATTTAAAAAGCACGTAAGGTGGTTGAGTCGCTAGCTGTTCGCATATTAGAGAGGTATTCCCCTTCACCGACACATGTTTTTGTTTCCCTCTTAAGACTAAAAAAAGGGGGGGGGAGCACGTCCACAATTCCCATCCGGACCATCTCCATTAGCATCCTGAAAAGATGACGCTTATGTCTTTACTTAGAGTCATTAGTCCTCTGCAGATGTTCTCAGTCAGGGAACAATCAGCGCAAAGGTCCACTCAGTGAGTAAACATGAGGAGCGGAGCCGGAGCACCGAGACCAGAATCTGTGCCGGCGCCTTTGTCAGCAGCCTTGGACCCACCGTCTCCTAGAGTGTTCAGATATACATGCAACATAAATTAAAATAACAAACAAGGGCCCATTCAAACCTCATACACAAATACAAAAACATAAACATACAAGGGCTAATAAGACAGACCTTCCTCAGGGGTCTAATACAGACAGAACATATTGGCTGATATGCGAAAATACATACAATCCTACATATACAAGATATGGAATAAAGACCAGAAACCAATTGCTCTGGTCAACTGTATATTCTTCTGAGATTGTACAGCCAAATGTTCCCAATCAAATGTTCCTTAGGTTAAAAGCAGTGTTGATCAAAAAGCTGTTGGGCCTATATAGCAGATTCAGGATTATACAATCCTTAAAGGCCGAAACGCCTTAGCCCTTGTATGTTTATGTTTTTGTATTTGTATATGAGGTTTGAATGGGCCCTTGTTTGTTATTTTAATTTATGGTGAATAAATACATATATATTTTTGTATGTTTTATAATTAGAGTTTTAGAGTTGGCCCTTTTCTACTCTTGACGAACAGATATACATGCATACACTATTGACACAAGGCCCTATCAATGTGTACCCGTTGAGGGGCCCAATCCACAGGTATGAATTATGGTGCTGGGACAGACCCTTAACCACGGCCGCCAAGTAGGCTTGCCAACCTCCAGGGGGCACCTGGAGACCTCCTGCTATTACGACCGACCACCAGGTGACAGAGATCAGTCCCCCTGGAGAAAAGGGCTGATCTGGAGGGTGGGCTCTATGGCCTTGTCCCACGCTGAGGTCCCTCCTCTACACACACCCGGCCTCCCCACGCTCCACCTCCCAAATCCCCAGTTGTTTCCCAAGCCAGAGCTGGCAACCACACTGCCAAGGGAGGGGGAAAGGTTCTGGGGATACTAGGGTTGCCAACTCTAGGTGGAGGAATTCCTGGAGGTGTGAGGTAGAGCCTGGGGAGGGCGGGGTTTGGGAAGGGAGGGACCTCAGCAGGGTGACATCTACCCTTCAGAGCAGCCATTCTCTCCCGGGGGGACTGGTTTTGGTTGTCTGGAGATCCATTGTAATTCTGGGCATCTCCAGGCCTCACCTGGATGCTAGCAACCCTAGGAGACACAGGTCACTGGCGGGGGGCTGTGGACCCAGGCAAATCATGGTTTAAATCTAAAGTAAAGGTTTCCCTTGGAGCTGCGGTGGCTCAAGTGGTTAAGACGCTGAACTGCAGGCTGTGGAAGGTCAGTAGTTCAGCAGTTCGAGACCCGGGTGCCGCATGATGGAATGAGCTCCCGTCTCTAGTTCCAGCTCCTGCCAGCCTAGCAGTTCGAAAGCAAGAAATTGCAAGTAGATAAATAGGGACCATTTCGGTGGGAAGGTAACAGCGTTCCGTGCGCCTTGGTGTTTAGTAATGCCGGCCACATGACCACGGAAACGTCTTCGGACAGCGCTGACTCTTCGGCTTTGAAACAGAGATGAGCACCGCAACCCTAGAGTCGGATTCGACTGGCTTTTGAGCAAGGGAACCTTTACCTTTAAAGGTTTCCCTTGCTTGAAAGCCAGTCGAATCCGACTCTAGGGGGCAGTGCTCATCTCCGCTTCCAAGCCAAAGTGGCCGGCATGACTAGACGCCGAGGCGCACGGAACGCTGTTACCTTCCCACCGAAGCGGTACCCATTTATCTACTTGCAGTTTCTTGCTTTCAAACTGCTAGGTCGGCAGGAGCTGGGCCACTAGGGTCTTGAACTGCTGAGCTGCCGACCCTCGGCGTCTTAACCTCTGAGCCACCGCGGCCCTTGGGTTGGATCGAGCCAACATCAATTTAACCTTAACCCAGTTCTCCCCACCTTATTACAGCCCACATCACACATGGCTGTGGACCACGGAGGTCCTACGATCCCCATCACAAGCTTTTCCAAGGTCAAAGGGGACCCCCCCCCCATCCCACTGGAGAATTCAGTTGGATCCAGTTCTACATGAATGGTATCCATGCGATTTGGGTCAGGTCTGCATAGTGTGAGGGGAGGGGAGGAAGAGGGAATCTTACAGAGTGATTAAAATATGGAATTTGGTGCCAGAGGATGTAGTGATGGCCACAGGAATAAACAGCTTCAAAAGGGGATGCATGGAGGATAGGTCTAGCAGTGACTACTAGCCATGGTGACTGAGGGGAACCTCCACATTCCAAGGCACTAATCCTGTTGCCAGGAGGCAACATCAGGGAAAGCCCTCAGCCTCTAGGCCCCATTGTTGGTCATCCAGAGGAACCGGTCGGCCACTGTGTGGGACAGGATGCTGAACTAGATGGACCATTGGTCTGATCCAGCAGGGCTCTTCTTATGTTCTTAATCTTTCTACAGGGAACTCTATTGGCTCCCAACAGCTTTATTCTCAGCCTTCTTTGCCTCCTCCCAGCTGCTTAGAAACACGAGTGAGACTGTCCATAAATCCCTCCACTCTTCATAAATTCCTCTCCTGCTTCTACGCAGGCACGCGCCCAGCTCTTGAGCAGCTACAACCCTTTGGCAAAGTCACTTCTTTCTAGTCAACCCACACATCCCCAAGTTTCCCATAGTCGGGGAGTTATCAAAACTATCCTGTAAACAACCACACGCATTCCCCTTCATGAGCCGTGTGCCTCTGAAGTCCCAGAGCTGAGGAGAATTTCATGTTTATAGAAATTTCTGCTGCTTGGCATAAAATCAATCCGGGCACGTTTCCAGGAAGACCGAATGAAAGCTCAAGTCGGAACCATCTTCCAGTGGCAAGCTGTGGGAAGAGTTCCCTTTTGCTGCTCCTGAACTGATTCCCGGGCCAAGGTAACACATTCCTTCATCCCAATTACGGACCTAAGGCCCGCCACAAGATTCTATCTGGGGATCTTCTGCTGGTTCAGCAGCCGACCAACTCAAATGAGTTGCCATTAATTCACCTATTCTGTCCATCATCCCAGTCAGGGGGCAAAGAGGCACAATGATATATTTGTATTCGAATAAACATTAGAATGCCACCATACCTTAGTGATTGGGTTTCTGGACACCCTGAGCTCCACAACCGTAAGAAGTTTCTTTTATTTCGCCTGCTTTGAGGGGAAAAAATTGGCAGTAAGTAGAATGGCCGAGGCCAAACTGAACATACACGCATAAATCACAGACTTGGAACCCTGTAGAGGAATGAAGGGCAATTGGAGCAGGAAAACAGCAGGGATGAGCACCCCTTTGTGCGTTTCTCTGATCTCAGTTGCCCCCCCTCCAAGAGGTTCTTAAGAAAAAGGGTTTTTTTGGGGGGGGGGAGCTAGAGTTACACAGATTTTTGTGTACCAATTAGTTTGACTTCAGGGTTGCCAACTCTGGATTGGGAAATGGCTTGAGTTTTGGGGGTACAGCCTGGGGGGAGGGGGGAGTTTGAGGTAGCGTTGCCAACCTCCAGGTGCCAAGTTATACAAACGATACAAAAGATCAAATCGTGCATAAATGACGAAAAATATTCAACATTCAAATGAGATAACATCACGGTAGTTGGTCTGATGTGCATTAGGAATGTCAAAGATGCTGTGTATGATTCAACAATACAGTAGCTGGGCGGTTTTTGTGTTCCACTTTTGAGGACACAAGACGATACGGCAACTGGAAGCTGGAGGGGCCGTGAAGTGGATACACAAGCAGCGAGATGAAGTTTTTCGAAGAGGAATGATAAACATTGGTATTTGGACTTTTCACTGTTTGAGGAATTTGACCTGAACTACTTCCAAAGGTGGTTTGTGTATTTGGACCATGTATTTTTGAGTTTCTGACTATCATATTGTATTTCTGATAAACTACACTATTTATCTAGGTTCAGATTATCATACTCATTGACCGTTGAATATTTTTCATTATTTATACACAGTTTGATCTTTTGCATAACTTACTCCCTTCCGTGCTTCTCTGCTGTTTGGGAACCTCCAGGTGCTGGCTTTTAGGATTAGGATCCTAAAAGAAATCCTAAACGAAATCAACCCTGACTGTTCCCTGGAAGGCCAGGTACTGAAGCTGAAGCTCAAATACTTTGGCCACCAAATGAGAAGGGAGCACTCACTGGAGAAGACCCTGATGCTGGGAAAGATTGAAGGTCAAAGAAGACGGGGACGGCAAAGGATGAGATGGTTAGACAGTGTCATAGATGCAAGGAACATGAAACTGAGCCAACTTCAGAGCACAACAAAAGACAGGAGGGCCTGGCGGGATGCGGTCCATGGGGTCGCGAAGAGTTGGACTCGACTGTGCGACTGAACAACAACAACAACAACAAAGGTGCTGGCTGGAAATATCCTGCTATGACAACCAGCCTGGAGCTGGCAATGCTAGTTTGAGGAGAGGAGGGCCCTCCACAAGGTATAATGTAGAGTTGCCAATTTACAAGTGGCTGCTGGAGACCTCCTGGGATTACAACTGGTCTCCGGGGGACAGAGATCAGTTCACCTAGCAAAAATGGCCACGTTGGAAGGTGGACTCCATGGCATCATACCCCACTGAAGCCCCTCCCCTCCCCAAATCCGGCCCTCCTCAGACCCCACCCCCAAAATCTCCAGGTATTTCCCAACCCAGAGCTGGCAACTCTAATGCCATAGCGTCCACCCTCCAAAGGAGCCATTTTCTCTGGGGGCACCAATTTCAGTAGTCTGGAGATCACTTGTAATTCCAGGAGGTTGGCAAAGAAGAAGAAGAGAAGGAAGAGGAGGAGATTGGATTTATACCCCGCCCTTCCCTCGGAGTCTCAGAGCAGCTTACAAACTCCTTTCCCTTCCTCCCCCCACAACAGACACCCTGTGAGGTAGGTGGGGCTGAGAGAGCTCTAAGAGGACTGCCCTTGAGAGAACAGCTCTGACAGAACTATGGCTTGCCCAAGGTCATTCAGCCAGGTGCGAGCGGAGGAGAGGGGGATCAAACCCGGTTCTCCCAGATTAGAGTCTGCGCACTTAACCACTACACCAAACTGGAGCCTGGCAAATCTATGCGGCAAGTAGAGAATTATGAGGCCTAATGGAAATGGGGTGCATCTCCCCATCTTCTACCATCAATGCTGCTATTCTTTATACGTTCCTCCAGCTCCACCACCTTCAGCCATCTGAAGAACTCTAGCTCCCTCAAGCCTTTCTCGCTTAACTGCCCCTTATGCCTGGATAGGATTGCCAGGTCTTAGAAGAAGAAAAGGAAGAGGATGAGATTGGATTTATACTCCGCCCTTCACTTGGAGTCTCAGAGCGGTTTACAAACTCCTTTCCCTTCCCCTCCCCACAACAGACACCCTGTGAGGTAGGTGGGGCTGAGAGAGCTCTGAGAGAAACTGCTCTTTCAGGAACAGCTGTGCCAGAGCTTGTGACTGACCCAAGGTCACATCAGCAGGTGCGAGTGGAGGAGTGGGGAATCAAACCTGGTTCTCCCAGATTAGAGTCTGCGCACTTAACCACTACACCAAACTGTCTTACCTCCTCACTGGGGGTGAGGGTGGGAGGGAGCTTTCCGGGAGTGTGGTGGTGGGGTGATGTTGCCGTGTGCGACGTCACCGTGATGATGTCACGTGGAAGTGATATCATCATGCCAGGGACATTGCACGGCAACACTCTGGTATTTTGGGCAAAAACTCTATGAGCCTGTGAAATCGGGGGATCCCCCACTCCCACCTGGGGGCTGGCGACCCTGTGCCTGGAACTGCCTCCCCGAATCCCTGTGGGACACCACCCTTCTCCCTTCCTTCAAATCCCCCCTCAAAACCCGCCTCTCCCTGGAAGCCCCTGACACACTTCTATACCTCACTCCCCTACAGACACTAACAGAGCAATCCTAAGGACACTTTCCTGGGAGTACACCCCATTCAGTAGACTTCAGTAGGTTCTTGAGTAGACCTGCTTAGGATTGTGCTGTAAGGACCTAAGTATACATTAGGTTTTCCTACAGGGGCACCCCCTGGTGGGGTGGAGGTGGATGTTCTGAGTTCTACACTTCCCATGAACATGAGATTGGGTGTGTGTGTGGATTGGACTGACAGGGCTATTTTTGGGCAGGAACGCCCTGGGTTTGGACAACAAACAAGGTAAACAGAATAAGAAGCAAAAGGTGGGTGTGGCTGGATGAGCACACTTCTGGTAACATGGGGTGTGTGGCTTATATGCCAATGAGCTGTGCTGTCAGGGGTGTGGCCTAATATGCCAATGAGTTTCTGCTGTTGGGTGTGGCCTATTATGCTAATGAGTTCTTGCTGGGCTTTTTTGTAAAAAATGTACACTATGGTACTTGGAAACAGGTGCTTAGACCTTCCCTCCCGCACCATTTCCCCTGACCTGAAATGGCTCTGGGGAATATTATTTGCCCTGTTGATGGACTGCACGTGTACTAATGAGCTACATGTTACGTTTCCATGAGGAGCCAATGAGGCCCCCTCCACACCCAGCCCTTTACAGTTGAGCTACCCAGTGAGCCCAAGTTCGTGTTGAGATCTGAACCAGGGATCTGGTGGTTTCTAGCAGCAAACCCTACACAGCATAGTATCAGCCAGTGTTGGCATGTATGACCCAGTGGGACCCAGGTTCAAATCCTCCCTAGGCCACAAAACTCACTAGGTCATCTTGGGTCTCTCTCTCTCTCTCAGTTAAAACTGCCTCACAGGGTTGTTGTAAGGAATGAAAGTGGGAAGGAGAGCACCCCTGAGTGGCCCTGAGCTCCTTAGAGGAAGGGTGGGATAAAAATGGGTTAGGCTGTTCACGGGCGGGGGGGAGTTTCCATTCTGCAGTGTTGCTGCAAATGCAAAGGCCTGTGTGCTGGCCCTGGAGCCAATCCACATGGGAATGTTCTGCATACTTTCCTCTGTCAGTCGCCGTTTCCCCTGCATTTTGTTCCTTGCTACATTACTGGGAGACTTTTTGAGGACTTTTTTTTTTTTTAAAAAAATCAGTAATAACTAGAGGTGGGTTTTTTTAAGCCTTCGAAAAACTCTCTGGTGGCGATGCAAGGAAAAAGGTACCCATCAAGGCCCACAGGACCTTCGAAAACACTAGGGTTGCCAAACTCCAGGTGGGGCCTGGGGATTTTCTGAAATTACAGCTGATCCCCAGACAAGAGAGATCAGTTTCCCCGGACAAAATGGCTGCCTTGGAGGGTGGACTGTGTGGTATTAAAGCCCACTGAAGTCCCTCCCCTCCCCAAACACCACCCTCTCCAGGCTCGATCCCCCAAATCGCCAGGTATTCTCCAACTCAGGGTTGGCAACTCTTAAAAACATTCACTGTTCCCAGGGCTCTTTTTGTAGAAAAAGCCCAGCAGGAACTCATTAGCATAATAGGCCACACCCAACAGCATGAACTCATTAGCATATTAGGCCACACCCTGACAGCACCACTCATTAGCACATTAGGCCACACCCCCATGTTACCAGAAGTGTGGTCATCCAGCCACACCCACCTTTCCCTTCTTATTCTGTTTACCTTGTTTGTTGTCAAAACCCAGAGCCTTTTTTTGTAGCAGGAACTCCTTTGCATGTTAGGCCACACACCCCTAATGTAGCCAATCCTAATGAATTTCTGCTATTGGGTGTGGCCTATTATGCTAATGAGTTCCTGCTGGGCATGGCCAACTCAGGAGCCAGCCGGAACTCCGTTCCTGTGTGTTCCTGCCCAAAAATAGCCCTGACTGTTCCCTTCCAGATAGTGTGCCAACGTGCTCAGACTGTATTCTTTTGGAAAGGAGTGTTGTAAGCCAGGTCTGAGAGAGGGTGTGCTGAGGATGGGGGAGACCTGGAAAGAGGTCATGCGGATGCCGCTCAAAACGGCGGTCTGGTTTGGATGCTCTTAAGAACAAATTCTACCCACCCACTCACCGGTAGTGTTTTTGCGTTGACCGTGCGTGGTGGCTGCTGTCGCAATCCGATCCCAAGCTAGATTCCACACTGGATCCCAGAGACTGAAAGAGAGAAACAAGCGTCCACGCTGGATGAGACTACCGGCCCCCAAGGAATCTGACAACCCACTTTGGTTGCTCTCAGAAGTCCTTCTAGGAGCCCTGGCACTCCTTGCGCCCCACTAGAAACAATGCTGGAGTTACCAACAGGCAGAGTAAGGGCATGCCCAGGGCCTCAAATCTTTGAAGGGGAAAAAAGGGGGGAACTCAGAAGAGGCAATCGCCATGAGAACCATGAGAACCAGATTCAAATTCTGGTGGTCCCTCGGGCAAGGTGCCCTCAGTGGGGAGCCTTCACAGAGTAGGCCTGCATATTCCTCCGTGCTGACGTAACTGGACATCTACTTCTGGGCCCAGTACAAAGCTCTGCTGAAGGAAGGTGAGCAAAGGCCCTTCTCCTTCGTTCTTGCCACTTCTTTCTTCCTCCGTGGCCTGCTGAGCAGGAAGGGGAGCAACAGCCAAGCCAGGAGGCTCCGTGGGTGGGCGACAGCAGTGCCTCCTTTTGGGAAACAGGTCTCAGCAGATGCATAGTGATAATGACCCCTGTTGCCAGTAAAAACAACAACAACAACAACAATAATAATAATGCAGAAGAGAATCTCTTGGCAGTGGATGAGGGGTTTTTCCCATTCATGCTGCACCTCAGTGTCCAAGCAAGATATGGTAACTGAAGGCCTCCCTTTGAAAATGTCATTGTTCCTCCACACATTTAATAATAATAATAATAATAATAATAATAATAATATACTTTATTGTCATTGTACATAGTACAACGAAATTAAGGTGCAATCATTCGGTGATCTACAAGCATACTCATATACACTCACACAACCATTAGGGTTCACATTGCAACTTAACCACCAATGTCAACAAAACCACCAAATTCCAATTCATACAGCATTTAAAGCAATAATAGCTCTCGAATAAAAACTGTTTTTTAATCTGTTTGTCCTTGTTTTGATTGTCCTATATCTTCTACCCGAAGGCAGCAGTTCAAACAGGGAGTGTTCAGGGTGTGACAAATCCTGCAAAATGTTCTTTGCTTTTTTCAAGCATCGAGAACTATACAATTCCTCCATGAGTGGGAGAGGACAGCCAATAATCTTCTGGGCTGTGATGATAACTCTCTGGAGTGCTTTCCTCTCCACAGCCGTACAACTGGCAAACCAGACACAGACACAGTATGTTAAAATGCTCTCTATTGAGCAGCGATAGAAAGACATCAGTATTTTCTCACTCAAGTTATTTTTCTTTAAAAGTCTGAGGAAAAAAAGCCTCTGCTGGGCCTTCTTCACCAGAGCAGTGGTGTTAGTGCTCCAAGTCAAGTTCTGCTCAATAATCACTCCCAAAAACTTAAAAGTAGCCACCCTCTCCACACGTTCTCCACCAATAAACAGTGGCTGAATGTCCGTTTTGTTCCTCCTATAGTCCACTACCAATTCCTTAGTTTTGGTGGTGTTGAGGATCAAATTATTTTCCCTGCACCAAACACAAAGCCGTTCCACCTCATCCCGATAAGCAGACTCATCATTCCCAGAGATGAGCCCCACCACAGTGGTGTCATCAGCAAACTTAGAAGAAGACATGACTGAGATTTGGGGTTCTTCACATCTTTGTATTCAAGGCTTCCAGCAGACAGCATTCCTGAGTCCAGAAAACCTGGACTACATTTGAAAGTGCCGTCTCAGGCAAATTATGGTGACCCCAGCAAGGGGCTTTCAAGGTACATGAGAAGCAAAGGTGGTTTGCCACCACTGCCTTCCTCTGCAGCGTATTCCTTGGTGGAAATTCAGAAGTACAGGTTCTCCAATCCCTCTTCTAAGGAACCCATGAATCTGAACTTTGACTAGACCCCACTCCATTCCCAAAGAACTCTTCAAGCTAGGGTTTCAATCTTTCTCTTCCAAGGAAGAACCCAAGTGTCCAAGCTTATGACAGACTCAAGTGAGCCCCACATCCAGGGCTGTAGCCAGCGGTGGGGCACGTGGGGCAATGCCCCCTATCAAATTTGATGCGCCCCACCTGCACGCCCCCTTTAACTTTGAATTTCAGCTTTATCCAGCTGTGCCACCGCCACGCCGGCCTGAAGCTCCTGCGACTAACAGCCATGACTAACAGCCGCCCCAACAGGAACTGGTAGCCTGGGAAGGAAGGTCAAGGACTGCCCCGTGGCGAGGCGAGCCCTCCTCAATTAAGCAACAATCCATCCCATGCCCTGGAAAGCCAAGCTGCACCTCCCGCTCCAGTGCTCCACCCACCGTTGAGGAAAAGAAACTGAAACTCGAACCCTCCTGTTTTGTTCTGGTTGACACTCTTGAAAGCGGTGAAAGGACATTGTTCCATCTGGCGCTAAGTCAAGAGTCAACAGTGCCTTCTGGATGTGATTCAACGCACGGCCAGAGTAAAGTAGAATTACAATCGAGGCTGAATAACTGGTGAAGTTCACATCCTTGTAATCTAATTCAGTTCACTGGCTCATGGTGAAAAAGATTGCATGCTCCCACAAAGAAACGGGAAGAAAGCTGTAAACTCAAATCCTTGCGCCTCTGGGTGCAGGAAATGACTGTTAATCAGCCAGTCACAGGGATGCTTTGGGATGTCTAACTAAAGACTTCAATTCCCAGGGGCAACTGCTCTTAAAGATATATGGCAGTTCTACTTAACTGCAGTTAAACGCTGGCTGGGGGCAGCACAGACATGCAATGGGGCTGGGAGTACCTCGGTTAGTTGGTTAGCGGAATGTTTGTAGGAGATGGCAGTTAAGGTTGCTGCAGCAGCCCAATGACAAAGGGTCCCTTCCTACCAAGAAGGAGGGTGGGGGGAGGAGGAGGTCTCTTGGAGACAGGCTCACAGAGATGGATGGGAGGAAGGAGAAGGAAATGGGGGGTGGGGTGGCGAGAGGAGGCAGCTGCTAGGGTTTCACAGCATTCAAAGAGAACTGTGAATGGATTCGCCCTTTGCTCCTTTAGGATGGCTTTTAAAACTTTGATTTAATTTAATTGGAACCCCCCTTGGTGCCCCAGCATCCCCCCCAAAAAAATCCTGGCTACGGGGCTGCTTGTGTCTGACGCCCAAACAATGCAGTCCTAAGCAGAAGTGTGCCCTTCTCCATCCACTGAAGTCAATGGGGCTTAGAAGGGTGTAACTTTGCAGGATTGCACCGGAAGCCACCTTCCTGCTGTCACTTCTCAAAACAACACAGAGGTGGTAAAAGATTCCAAAGACTACCCAACCTTTAGGCAAGCGAGGCAGGTTGCCTCAAGCAGCACATTTCGGGACAGCAACTTATGAGCAACGGCCATCAATTATATTTTCACAGCCAGAAGAGGTGCATGGCGTACACCCTTGCTGGTTTCAGGCACCAAGAGAGGGGGCAGCCACAAATCAATGCGGGCGTTGACTTGTCCCCACACCATCATGCATCAACAGGACTCAAGACGCTGTACGCTGGTTTACTAACTGAACAGAATATGAGGTCACCATGGCAGCCAAACAGAGCAAAGCACCATAGAGTAATGGGCTAGAGTGGCTCCCCCAACCAGACTGTACTCCAGCTCTTCAAATGGGCACTTTCCATTGGGAACCACAATTCCAGGGCTGTGCCTCACTCTAGTTTTTCCTTTGTTCTGTCCCAAAGAGACTCAGTTGCCCCAGACAATGTCGGGGATCGAATCCTCAACATATACTTGCGCCTTAAAATCTATAGCAGGAGACCCTATCTGAATCAGGGGATTCTGGGGAAGAGGCTGGTTTTTTTTTATTTTTAACTCTCCCTCTGCACAGTTTTCTCTCGTCAAAACCACCCCAATCCCTTCAACTACTTTGGTCAGGGGAGAAAAAGACAGACCATCCCCCTCCCCCCACTATCAGGGCTAATAACAGCCAAGGGAGAACAGTTTTTATTAGGGACCTGGTGCAGGGAAGTGGAGAACAATGTTTTTAAAAAAGCTCTTCGCTACTTCCATGGCCTCGATCCAAACTATGGGGTTTACAGCTGTTGTTTAAGACTAAACTATGCACTGATTTCAGGGGAGGGGGATTAAACCGTAGTCCTAAGTAGCTGCCGCTTTCTAAGTCCATTGACTTCAACTGACTTGCAGCTCTGTTTAGGATTGCTCTGCTGGACTTACATTACAGCCGGTCCGGCCCTAAACCGAATGGGCTGCTTCCCTGTCCTTCCTCCGCAGTCTGAGCCAGGGATAGCGAGCCACGTACACTGCCCTGCCATTGCTCTAGAACTTGGCCTACCAGCTTCCTCCCGGTACCGTCTATTCGGCTCCGCTTTTGCCCCAAGGAACCCAGGTGTCCGGGATCCCAGGCCCTCTGCCGTCACCACTTCCGTGACAATTAATTATTGGTTTTCCATTTAGCCTCAAGATACATTTTTTGCTGCAGGAAATTCCAGAGATTAAAGCCATCGGGAACAAAGACACTAAAATATTTATACAAGCACGAGTTAAAAACAGAACAAAATTCTGGGCTTGTGTTTCTCATGGAAAGGAAGAGAGAGAGAGAAAGAAAGAAAGAAAGAAAAGTAATCAGACAATTGGTAGCAAAGGATGCAATGCAGGAAGTAGGCTAGGAGAAGGCGACACATTCACTGACTTTGTTTGAGCGTCCGAAAAGGTCCAGCAGGTGCTCCTTCGCTGCCGCGACTCTCCCCCTCGGGTGTCGTTCCTTCCTCAGGGATTTGGGAGAGGGCAAACTCCACCCACTTCCCGATTTGTCCCCCAATTCCGTTTCCCCTGGAGCGGGTGGCTCGTTCTGGTCCAGACGTCCCTCGCTGCGGCTCCGCCACACCCCTCCGGGGTCCTGAAGCGGGATCTGGATGCAGTTGTCCGAGTCTGGAGCCTCTAAGCGGATGCTTGGGGGGCACGGTTTCTCCTCGCTCCGGTCCTCATGCTCCTCCCCTGGCTCGGGCTCCTCACAACTCGAGCGCCGCTTGCGGAGGGCACTCCGGTGCCAGGGAAGAAAGTCACAGTCTAAGAGGCAGCCTTCAGAACCACATTTCTGGAGAGGGCTCAGCATCTGTGTGAGGGGGCAAAGGGTAATTTTGATCAAACACGTTTGTGTTGAACAGAGGGCAGCGACACAAGGTTCTGGAAAGCAGTCGGGGGATAATTGAGGTTACAGAGGAACCCTGGCATATCTGGACCTTCAAAGCCCTTCACGACCTAGAACCCACATATCTGAAGGACCATCACCTTCTATATGTCCCTGTGTGCCAAATATAGTTGTCAAACGGAAGAAGAAGAAGAGATTGGATTTATACCCTGCCCTTCACGTGGCATCTCAGAGAAGCTTACAAACTCCTTTCCCTTTCCTTCCCCACAACAGACACCCTGTGAGGTAGGTGTGGCTGAGAGAGCTCTTTCAAGAACTGTTAGGGCTGCCAAGTGGGGCGGGGGGCGGGGAAACCCCCGCTTTGGAGGCCCGATTTCCGCCGTGGCGGAATCAGGCCCCGGGGGGAACTCCGCCCCCCGAAGCTGCGTCACCATATGGGTTCCCCCCCCGACGATCTGGGCCATGCCCCCAACGTGCTGTATGTCGTGCATCACTTCCTGTGATTTTCTGGCGGCGCGCACGCGCGCGACCAGACCGAGGCAACGCTCCCCCACCGGTGAGTAAAAAGGACTTGGCAACCCTAAGAACTGTCCTTGAGAGAACAGCTCTGACAGAACTATGGCTTGCCCAAGGTCATCCAGCAGCTGTAAGTGGAGGAGTGGGGAATCAAACCCGGTTCTCCCAGATTAGAGTCCATGCACTTAACCACTACAACAAACAGGCAGCCGCCTGTTGGCAACCCCACCACTTAAGGGTGGCCTGTCTGACACTGATCAGAGCTCGGGCCTTTTCCACTGTGGCGCTTGCTCTCTTGGAGTGGGCTCCTGGAAGAGGTGGGGGGGGACCCTCCTTGGAGACCTTCAGGTGGTGCTTGTTTGCCAGGGCTTTCAAAGGGTTTGGATGGCAAACATCTTTTAAGGAGAGACGGAGATTTGCGGGTTGCTATTTCGCTTTTGATTTTGAACTATTATCGCAAGCCACCTTGAACGACGAGGAATGACAGGCTATAAATGTTTAAATAAATAAATTAATATCCTGTGGGGTAGGAGGAAGAGCTCTGCCACTGACATTCTCAGTACACCAAGACTGTTTTGTGGTGTTTTGTGGTGCTGAAGCCTCTGATTGGCTGAGGTTCCCTCATGTCACAGAGAGACAGAAGCAGACACAGAAGTTGCCATCCAATGAGGTGCTGGGGGGGGGGCAACCGTGGGAGGGCTTCTGGAGTTCTGGCCCCGCTGGTGGATCTCCTGATGTCACCTGGGCTTTGGCCACTGTGTGACACAGAGCACTGGATTGGATGGACTATTCGCCTGATCCAACATGGTCTCTCTTATGTTCTTATGATCCTGAACTATCTCTGGCTGCTACCTAGGCTTACCAGGCTCCCACTGGGGGAGGGGGTTCACCCGCTACCAGCGGGGGCTCATCCACAACTGCTCAGCCACTCAATAGGGGGAGAAATGGTGGGAAACTGGGGGGGAACGGGACATTGGGAGTGGCCTAACATATTCAGTCCCTGTGCGCCCAAAGTGTTATCAGGGGATGCCACGGATTCTGTGGCATGTGGGCAAAACTCTAAGGTAAAACTGTAGGGCCTCTGCCACTGGTAAGTCCCCCTGCCAGTTGGCAGGCCCTACAGGGCCACCCAGTATTACCTGAAGGCCCAGCAACATGATAGATTGGCATCTTGCACATGGAGATCCCATCATTTTTGGGGGGCACACAGGGGCCCAGTTCAGGTTGGGACTGTAGCATGACAGAAGGAGGGGTGATTCCCCCCCACTGGGCTGTTTTCCTGGTAGGGTTACACCAACCTCCAGGTGAGGCTGGGTGTTCGCCCAGAACTACAACTAACCTACAGAGATCAGTTCTCCTAGAGAAAATGGCTGCTTTGGAGGGTGGACCCTATGGCATTATGCCCCGCTGAGGTCCCTCCCTTCACTGGTGGCTTTCAAGAAGAGGCTGGACGAATATCTGCCAGAGATCTGCTGGTCCTGCGTTGGGCAGGGGGTTGGACTAGAAGGTCCATATGGCCTCTTCCAACTCTATGATTCCCCAAACTCTGACCTCCCCTGGCGCCAGCCCCAAATCTCCAGGAATTTCCTAATCCAGAGTTGGCAACTTTACAACAGCAGGGCCCTTGATTTGTTTGATTTGTTAATTGGTTTGTTAACGTCACTTATAGTCTGCTTTTCATACTGAGATGGGCAGCAGATTCATTTCTACCTGATTCTCCAGTGCAGGTTCTAAACCACGGACAGAACGAGGGAGGCGTCGAATAGATTGCACCGTGTCAGGCATTAGTGGAAGAATACCATTTTTGATCGCTTCCCCACTTTTAGAACGCTACACAAACAGAAAATCAGCACGTTGGAGTCCATATGGCTCATTCAGTCCGTTGCATGCTTTGTGCCTTTGTATTTGTAGGGAATTTTTTTCATGTTGGGGCACATTAAAAAAAAATGTGATTCCCCCCCCGCCCCCGCAGTCCAAAGTGGTTCGGTCTGTCCCACCATCTTACAGAGCCGCGTGCCGCCTGAGCTTCCGAGGGGAAAGAATAGAGGCTGAAATGGTAGACAAGGCTCAAGGTCACATATTGATTCTGTATGCCTGGCTGCAGTTCTGTGGCCTCTAATCTTCCTACCCTCACAGAATCTTCTTCCACCTCAGGATTTTCTTCCAGGAAATCCCACTCAGGGCTCCCAACCTCTAGGCGGGCCCTGGAGATCTCCCAGAAGTGCAACAGATCTTGAGGCTACAGAGATCAGTTCCCTTGGAGAAAACAGATGCTTTGGAGGGTGGACCCTGGGGTTGCCAGCTCTGGGTTGGGAAATACCTGGAGACTTGAGGGAGAAGCCTGAGGAGGGCAGGTTTGGGGAGAGGAGGGACTTCAGTACAGCCATTTTCTCCAGGTAAACTGATATCTGTCGCCTGGAGAACAGTTCTAATCCCAGGAGATCTCCAGCCACCACCTAGAGGTTGACATCCCTAGTAGACCCTATGGCATTGTGCCTCACTGAGGTCCCTGTCCTCCCCAGGCTCCATTCCCCAAACCTCCAGGAATTTCCCAACCTGGATCTGGCCGGGGGTGGGGGGACCAGGCAACCCTAGAGAGGTCCCTCCCCTCCCCAGGCTGTACCCCCAAATCTCCAGCAACTTTCCAACCCCGATATGGGAACCCTACCCTTCATGGTTGCCACGGTACCAGTGTCTTCTTAGAGCAAACTGCTATCCCTGTAGAGCTCTAACCAGGCCATTTGGGTCACACTCCCTTCTCTTTGAGATCTGACAAGTCCTTACAAGCTGTGGAAGAGAAGGGGAAAGGGGAAGTAAAGGCTGAAGGACTCTGAATTGTGCCTTTGAGACTTTTGTTATGGGAAGATTGGGGGTACTGTTTCTAGACAGTTAAATCTAAGTTTTAAAGAAAAGGTGTTATAAATGTTTGACTCAGTTTATAAAGGGATCAACGATGGGAAGACTTGATGTACCTAAGCTAGTTGGAGGATCTCCTCTCTTGGGCTTTTAGTTAGTAGTGGGTTCTTTGCTTTATCCCGTATATGTAGTTTCCCCTCCCTTTTCTTCTGTTGTAGTTTTTGTAGTGAAAAAATAATAAAAAATCCCCTCCGGGGGCTTAAAAAAAAAAAAGAGAGAGAGAGAGATATCTGACGGAGCCCCCCAGGACTGTGTGTTTTAAGGGGAGGAGCGGTCGCCATCTTCTAGGGAAACAAAAGTCTGCTCTTCAGAACCTCTGAGGGGCCTTCTGAACTTGAGCAACCTTTGAGATGTTTCAGGGGAGGTTGCGTTGCGCTCTGCCAAGGCCTCTGCTGTAGGGCAGAGTTCTTTCTAGGGCACATTTTTGTGTGTGGGGGATAAAAATAAATGTTGCAGCAACATGTAGCATTTAACGAGGCGCTGGGCTGCTACTTAAATAGACAAGGCAAAGGAAGATAAACAGAAAACCAAGACGGGTCTGGGTCCTCCTCTGTCAGTTTTCTGTCTTTCCCCCCTTTCTTCTTTCCTCCACCAGTTTGAGATATTTTGCCATTCCAAAGACCCTTCTGCTCGTGCTGCCCTCGTTCCCTGGCCAAGTGCCAGGCAGCCCGTCTTAACCCCAGGCGGCAGCAACATGAGACTGGGAGGTGGCGACAGAAGAAGAGTTGGTTT